TTATTTAATAAAGGATTTCTAAGTAATTGCAAATTATGCCCAACTTTTTCACAGTCTTTTCGTTATATAAAGGCACAATTCGATAGAGTTTTGGAAAGTTAATTAATTAAGCTGCAATTTATTTGCTTTCAGTCGAATTCGAACTCATTTCTCAAGCTCGTGGTGAAAATGCATTGCACATTTCAAAAAAATCTAGTTCATTTTAAATACAAAAGAGATCATAAATAAAATATTAAGTATAAATGAAATAGTTAGGAATATTTGCAGGATAATTTTGAATATATTTTAATTAGAAATATAATGGAATATCATTGCTTAAATATATTTTTGTTGATTTATCTTAACTATTAAAATATAATAGGGATATATATATAATAGGGATATCTACTTCGCATCTTTAGCCTTAAACAATCGAAATATCAACCGACTTATATACATCGTGCTGATCCCGTGAGTTCCTTTGAACTTGTTCCGCTCAACTAGGCAGCTAAAAAGCGCCAGCAAATATAATGTAAATGATAAAGAAATGAATAAAGCGCACTGCCAAAAGTTAAATGCAAAGTTTTCAATGTGAAAATGAGGCAAAGTGAAAGTTCTTCTTTTTTTTTCATTTCTTTTCTTTTGTTTTATTTTTGCTGCTGCTCTGTTGCCTGTTGCCAGCTTCTCATATTATTATCTGCCTTAATTGTTTTTCTTTCGACTTATTTACTTCTTTTGTGCCCCTGCCGCCAGTCTCCCACCCCCTCTGGTATGTTGAGTGCCCATTTTAACAACTGTGCTAAAAATCTATTATTAGGCGCGTTTTTCTGGCCTCGGCTCTCGGCTGCAGTTAGGAAAAACTCACAACTTTCCCCGAAAATCTCCAGCCCCCCATTCCATAAACCTGCTGGCCAGCGCTTGACTCGTTTATTTCCGCGCGGAAATTGCGCGGTGACAAAGCGTTTTTATGAACCCGCTCGACATCGCTTGAGCATAGGCCCATCTGTCTGTGCATAATAACAAAACATTTTACTACCGCCCACCGCCTCACGCACACACACACACACACACACACACACACAGGTAAGCACACCTCGCTGGCTGGGTCCGAGCAAGACATCAGGTGTTCGGATGATTTGACAAAAAGTGCTTGGCGTTTTGTCGAAGCTCGCCCCGTGAGATTAGTGAGGATTTTATGGACTTACGCGTCGCCGGCAACTGCTAAACTGCGTGCGAATCGTACGTTTTTCCCAATCCCCAATCCCCGACACCGAGGCACCCGCCGCCCCGCCTCCTTTTTGCTGTAACCAACACCTGCTGAACTTTTGTCGTTTCATGGCTAAAAGTTTTTCGTGCCGTTGTGTTGCCCGGCTTTGGGGCTCTTGCGGTTGTCGTTTTTCCATTTGCAGCCAGTTTTGTTGTCTATTTTAATTTGTTTACTTTTGTTATTGAGCTGTCCTGTCCGCCGTGTGGCATGTTTGATTGGCTCTAAGCCCCAAAGCACCACGGCACCACGTCAGGTGCTCGCTTGTTTTTTCTTGTTCTTGCAACATCTGTCTGGTCGCAACGTTTGACTTTTGCTTTTGCTGTTGATTGAAATTCATACAAGACACAGATCAAGATGTCACTGCCAGACAACAACTAAGTCCTTCTACGCCTGTCAGCTGTCCGATGCTATCGACGCTATCGATGCCACATCAATATTATCAATGCCATCAATTCGTCAATGCTTGAGCAGCAAAGAGCTGGCACGTACAGGACTCATTTATAAATTTTGAGCAGCGTGCATAATTATGAAAAACAGGAAACGGAAATTGCAAAAAAAAACTAGCCAAACAGCTGTCGTTGACGATGACGTTCTGCTGCTGCAACACTTTACTCTTTTACAATGGACTGCAACTTTGACGTCATCATCATCATTCCGATCAGCAGCAGCAACAGCAGCAGCAGCAGCAGCAGCAGCGGCAACAACATCATCATCATCAGCATCGGTGATAGCTTTTGGTTAGCACTTGGTAACTTTGTCTGCTATCAAACAGCTAAAAATAAAAATGAAGAAGCTGAGAAACAAGTAAAACAGCACTAGTCGGGTGTGCTCGACGAGGAGATGCTCTAGGAGATGCTGTAGTTGCAGACATACTAGCTACACTGCCAAGCTATTCTTCCCTTTGCCTCAGATTAAGTATAGAAAGTTTGTATCACTAGACTGTAGCTCTTCTAGCCCTTGATCACGAAACAGACTCAGCTCAGCTTGCTGGTCAGGAATATATATATTCCTTTTACGATCGGAAATGCTTCCTTTTGTGCATTACATGCACTTGTGGAGCAGTGAAACCTGATGACCTTTCTGCCCCTTGTCAATCGGCTTAGGGTATAGAAAGTGCTTCGGTGTGTGGGTCCAGCCAGGGCCAGTGGCCATGGCCATAACTCTTTGTCCTGCTCAGCAGTTATTGAACATTTTCAATTACTTTCAGTTGAGAGCATAAATTTTTAATAATTTGAAACATGATAAAGGGAAATTAAAGGCGAAACTTGTCAAAAATTGCTAAGGAGCAACAGCAAAAAGCGATCCACAAAGTGACGACTGTTCCCTGCTGCCGGTTGCGGGGTCTGGGGATGGGTGGGCATGGCTGCTTGTTGCTAGGGAGTGGCTGCTTGTCGCGCACGATGTTTTACCAAACTATTATAATTACGTTGGAAAGACAAAAATTTTAATAAATGATAACTTTTTTGTCGTCAGCGCGTCACAACTTATTAAAAGTATAACGCATAATGCTAGTGGGGTTGGCTGTAGCTTCCGTTGGATGGGTGGGCAGACTTGGCAGGGGGCCCAGGCTTGGGGTTGGAATTTGGCCGAAATGTTGCCAAGTAAATTTTGTTATCAAAGTTTATAATACGCTGCGACGGATGGCACCGTGCCGTTCCGTCTCGTTCCGCCACGTTCCTGGTCACGGCTGCAGCGTGCATATCTAAATAGATTTCCAATTTAATGTGGACAGTACTTTTATGAAGCTCATGGCATGGCAACTTAATGGGCCGGCAATTACGTATAACATGCTCAACCTACGCTTTTTACATTCCTTGCATATATAAATATGTGTGTTAAGTATTCAAGTTGGTTGACAGAAAGATGCCCTGTACACGCGCCTGAAGTACCCAAAAAAAGAGTCTTCAGAGTACTCAGATTCGTCTATAGAAAGTACCCAAAAGGCATTCTATTCTAGGAAGAGTCTTCAGGTAAGTCTATTGAACATAAAGCTTATAATTCTTTTGATGATTGAAATTAACATTCAAGAATTTCTTAAGCTCGAGCATTTTCAATACCACATTTGATAGCTCTAGCTCCAATGGTTTCTGAGATCACACTGTCTCTGGCGAGAGTATACTGTGATCAAATATGCCTTCTAGAGTCGCAAATTCTCAGCTGTCAAGAGTGCATTCTATTTCTATGTGAAACTTTATTCATAGCCATATCAAGGGTATCAAGTCTAATGAAAATTGAATAGTTATCTAGTTTTGCACATGTTCCGCATCTGTGGGCGGCTGAATATTTGTTGTTGGTTAGTTGGTTGTTGCCGGCGCCTGTTAAGGGACCGCAAAGCCCGCTTTGCTCAGCCCTAGCTTCACGGATTCATATATTTTTAAATATGCCAAAACATTCGACACACACACACACACACACACACACACACGCACGCAAGAAATATTCTTGCTCTAGAATTCCTAGAATTGTAGATCTGACAAAATGGCAAAACTTTGCGACAAATTATAATGGCGGCCGTTGCGCACAAACACACACACACACACACACATACACAGAGAGAAATATATTTGAATTTAATTTTGAGGCGTCTTTTGGGCGAGGGCACAGCAGAGGCAGCTGCGCAATGGCGACAACAGCTGTTGAGCTACTTTAACAGTCTGCTAGCTCATTAAGTTTTCCTACACACACACACACACGCACACATACGTGCAATATAATGCGGCACACAAATAAATTTGTCACAGCAAAATTTTGCAACTTTGTGTAATCCGCAGGGAATGCGTTGCTGGGCGTGGCGACCGCCCCTTGGCCACCAGAGGCAACCGCCGCAGCGCACAGAATCTAGAAATCAACGAGTTTATCTCATTAAAAAGTTATTTTCCGCAGCAGCTGCAAACGCACACACACACAAAGTCTTAGCCTACACATGCCAAGACTCTCTCACACACACACACACAAACTCAGAGGGGGGCGCCATGTGTATTTAAAAGTGAAGGCAGCCAACGAAATATGTAAATCCACTTCATTTAATTTCGCATTTAGCCAAAATGCTAGCACTAAATGACAAATATTCTTGTTAAGAGGCATAAATGCAGCAGCAGCAGCAGCAGCAGCAGCAGCAGCAGCCGAGGCAGCGCAGCAGCAGAGTTTTACTCTGGCTTGGCGTCCAGCCAAGTGTTTTTTCGGGTGGAAGGGAAAGGGAAAGGAAAAGGGAGGCAGCCCACTTTCTTGCCTTTTGTCTGCTTGTTGTTTAGTGCAGCTCGACATACTTTTGGTTGCAAAGTATTTTTGCAACAACATCGCCTTGCCGCCAAAAAGACAAAGTACATTTCCGCTGGCAGTTTCCGGTTTCCGGCAGTCGTTCGTGCTGCCTCCCTGCAACTCCGTGCACCCGTCTGCACACAAATCGAATTGTGGCATCAACGCTCGCCAAATTAATATAGTTAAGTGCAGCCTGTAAAGCGACTAGGGCAAATCAAACAAACAATCTGCATGCCACGCAAATGAAGTTGAAGCGCTGTCAGACCTTGCCACACACAGCATTATGACCACTTAAGCATGCCACAGCCCTACTCCCACCCACTGTTTGCACTGATGTTGCACGACTCAGCTCTGTTGGGATTTTGGCCCGTCTGCCCAGGGCTGCGTACCAAATAAAACTGACGATCCTTCAATTTTAGTTACGAGTCAAAGGCTTGAACCTTGCTTGCGCTCGATGCTTGAACCTGATTTTCCACAGCCATGAAGACAGCTTTGATTTTTCTGTTAGAAGAGGCATTGTGTAATAATAATGTTTATTAGTGTAAAATAAAAAACAAATTAAGAGATTGCTACGAGTCAATGGATCGCCTGGGCAACAGAGATTCCAGATTTTTTCTTCCGTATTCCATTTTCTTTGCAAACAAAAAAAGGTTTAATCATATAAAATTGTCGGTCTTTCGGTTTCTTACAAGCCAAAGTCTGTTCCGAGCCAAAGCCTGGACTTTTTGAATTCTAGTTTCGCTCAGTCTCGAAGCTTCGTTCTGCGCCTGCTTGAGAAAATATTTTTGGGTGTCAAAGATTATTTTCATTTGGCCCTCGGCTAACATCTACTTTACAAAGTGTAGAGAGCTTTATTTCTTAAAACGAATCACTTAGCTCTTAAATATGATTTGCTGTGATTGGGTTTAGCTGTAACTACGGCTCAACGTGAACAAAAAAAAAAATTAATTCCGGCCGCGAACCAGCTCGGTTCAGTTCTGGTGCCTGCCTCCCTGCCTGGCTGGGGCTGCAAATCAAGGCTGGGGCAGCGTCTGCTGCATGTGCAGCTATTGTTGTTGACTGTTTCTGAATGCTTCAGCATTTTGGTCAATATTTGTGCAGCGCTTTGGCGTGTCCGCCAGTCCCGGAGCCCTTTGGTTGCCTTTGGCCTTCGGCTGGGGCTTTGCATATGCAGATGTCGTAGCATGAAATGCTTTTAGCCAGCTTTTCTGTGCTGCCTTTTACCCTTTTTCTGGCTCTTTTTTTTTCTCTCTCTGTCGGTTAACAACATAAAAACGTGCTTACACCTCGCACACACACACATATACACACACACACAGCAACTAGATTTTAGTTTTTCTATCGACTCGTCCATTGGATTCACCTGCTGCTGCTTACAGCACGCTTGGCTTGCCTTGCTCCTGTCTGTACTTTTCGTGCCATCTCTTATATATATATTTTTTTTATTTGTTGCAGATTAGCATGTCGACCTCAAACTGGCCTTGCCCATAATCCATAAGCCTTGCCACTCAACTGTATTGCAAATTTAATTTCAATTTGATCTATGCAGCGCATTCATTTTATTTAATGGATAAAACTTGTCCAAAATATCTCGAATTGAATGCACTCTTCATTTTACTTCATCAATTTGTGATTGTTTTTCTTGTTGTTGTTATTGTTGTTGTTGTTGTCGTTGCGGTTGCTTGTGGTTATTGCACTTTGCGGCCCTTCGGCATAAATGCATTCAGCAGGCATTTTAACAATTTAGATTGCATTCACTTGATTGATTAACTCATTTTAAAAGCATTTTTAATGAAATGCAGGCACAAAAACATAAGGTTATTTTCAAATTGGTTTATAAACTGAGAAAAGGGTAATTTTGCATTGATTAAATGCCCATTGAAATCAAATATTTACATATGAAACTGGATATTAATTATTTTTCAATTGATTTTTAAAACTTTTAAAAATTGAAATATGAGAATTCCAAATCTTTCATATTTATGGCCTGAAAGTCAATTAAAAGTGCATCATTTAACTGTGCAAATGTTTGTTATAAAAAAAAGGATACACATCTGACAGCATTAAGCATATATATGCTCGATCTAGTCATTTTGAATGAGCGTGACGGAGACTAAAAACTTAATATATATAACGCGTATGCTATATCTGTTCCTTCCTCTATAATAATTCCAGATATTCATTTTCACGTTTAGTGAGATATTGTTTCCATAATATAAATGGGCATCCATTTTAAGATTTTGTTTTGGATTACATATATACGTAATTTAAGCCCTGAGAAAAGATCATGTGTGGGCTTAAAGAAAGCAGCAGACAATTTGCCAAGATTTAGGAAAAACTCGAAAAAGTCTGACGTTGGGTTTGGGATATCTCCTAGTCGGCCTTTCCCAACTGCTGCACTGTTCCATTTTTAAGCAATTAACTTAGGGCTAAATTTCAAAGCTCCGCTTAGATTTTTAATCTGTAAAAAATAAATGTATTTTTATACAATAAATTGCCAAGAATGTGACAAATTTTGGAGGCGAATCATGCCACGTGCATCGACACGGAAGTACATTTAACTCCCGTCATTAAAAGTAGCCGCTATGAATAATGTAGTTCCGAAAATACCTTTTTAAATATAGAAGCTTTTAAAGTGGGACCAAAAACTTAAATCAAACATTTAAGCCGCTTATAAATACATTTTCAAATGAAAGTAACTTTTTATCACTGATTCAATACCGACTTTGAATGCGAATCCATTTTCTGGCAAAGTCATTATTTGAAGGCCTGTCCAAATCTGACACTGGGTGACCTTTTCTGCCCACTTCTTTATATATATAAATGCATATATATATATATATATATATATATATATATATAAATTTCTTCATCTTTTCTCGTGCCTGGAGAGCTCATCGTGTTGATTGCTAACTAAGTTTGTTTTGGTAGCATTTTTGCCTATGCGAAATCCTTAACAGAAACTTCTTGCATCATTTAGCATGGTAAACTGGTTTAATGGTTGTTAACTTGAGACTCCGAACTAACAAAGGCGGCTCCGGTTTTTGGGTTTTAATGGAAATCAAATTCTTTAGAAGTTCTGTCTCAGCTCTGGGCCAGTCCCTTGACCATTGATCATCCAAATGTTACGCATCACAGCAACATTTACGGCTACAATTGTACATTGGCAATTTGCCGACGCCTTTCGTACGCTTTTGTATTATTTACTAAAAACTTAAAGGGCTCAATAAAAGCGCCCAGAGATGCACGTGCTGCTGCCTCTCCTTGATCCTATGCAAACAGGCAAAACAACAACAACAACAACAAAAAAAAAGACAGCATCAGGGAAAAGGGAACGGACAGAAAACTAGTCTTACTGACTGACTGACTCAATGTCTGGGCGACATGCCAACCTCAGGTCGTCTGTATGTACATATCTATCTATTTTAATATATGTGTGTGTATGGGTGTGTGTGTGCGTGTGTGTGTGTGCGTGTGTGTGTGTGTGTGTGTGTGTGTGTGTGTGTGTGTGGAAGGGTCAGCCTTTTATGTTTGTTTTGTATTTTGTTTATGCAAAAATTGCCAGAGCAATTTCATAATGGGTCAAAAGAGAAATCAACTTTTGTTGAAAGTGCTTTAAAATGCACGACAACAGCAGCAGCAATAGCAGTAACAGAAATAGCAGCAACTTACAAGTGTTGGGAATGCCCGACTTTGAGATACCCTGTATTAAGCACATAATTATATTCGTATATAATTTCGGCCGATCATAAGCAAATTGTGAGTGCTTTAAGATATTATTTAAGTTCACAAATTACTGATATATAAGAGTAGTGAAAAAGTTTTCACTTAAAATGAGTAAGTCTTTAGAGAAAAATAGCGAATATCCCTCGATACTTATCGATTCATAAAATAAACTAAATCTGTAATCAGCTCTCTAACTGATGTGTCTCCAGTTTCAGACAAAAGTACAGTGGGACTGAGGGCAAGTTGCATACATGGGCACAACTTTATTATACCCTGTTTGTCATGGTTACAGGGCATAAAAAGTGGCAGGACATGCGCCTGATTGTTGCCAGGTCGTCGCTCAGTCCATTGACTAAATGGAGCGGATGTCAAAAACTAAAGTTGCAAATTTTTCGTACGCTTTTTGTTAGTCTCGTAGCCGAGACACACACACACACACACACACACATACACGTCAGTTGCATGCATCGCTTAGGTTGCGGACAAGGACAACAACATTGTCCTGGCACTTGAGCAACCTTGCCAACCGCCATTTGTTGTTTGGACGCCGCTCCGTTAGGTTCGTTCCGTTTCGTTATTTTTTTTTTTTTTTTTTTTTTTTTTTTAGTTTTGAGTTTGGGTTTGGGTTTGTTTGCCGCCCTTAGGAGATTTGCCTTTTCAAGCCCGTTCTGGCCAATGTTCCACTGAAGAGTGTTTCCCATGGATTGTGCTTTGTTAAGCATCGTCCTTGGATGACAGCCGCCCGCCCGCATAGTTTAATGCTTTTAATTTTTTGACATTTCATTTGGCCAAGCTTATGTCGAGAATGGAAAAAACTATTTAATTGTCTGGTGTGAAAAGTTTTTCGTCTGCCTGCAGCCTACATTGGTGACACACACCCAACTTTCCAGATATATATGTATATTTCCCGATTGCTCAGACTACAATTGGTGTGCTTTGCCCAGGCTTGTTTGCACGGAATCAATTTAATACGCTTCGATTTCGAAATAGACTCAAATGCTGAAATGTTTACAAAATGGCTTTTTGCCAGCGGAAATGCATGGCATTTTCCGTTAACACAGAGTACCTACACGTTCTCTATACATTTAATGACTGCATGCGTGCCCCAGCCAAAGGTTGGCAGCTGATTAAAAATATGTTCTCAAGCAGAAGTCAAATCGAGTGCTCGTACTTACCAAAGTATGACTTGATTGGCAACTGCAGCTGCAAAGCAAATTCGTTTTCTTTTGATTTTGTCAAGCTAAGCTCCAAAATGTTGCCATCCTTGACTTGAACCTGGTTGCTCTTTTGATATTGCCGCTTGAGGCATTGCATTTGAATTTCATTTTTCTTTTACTGGCAATTAAAATGTTAGAAACACTTGCAGCGACTACAGGATTTCTTTTAGGAAATGTGTTAAAATACCTTTTATTTCATATTAAGGGTGTAGTTAATTTTGTAATTTTTCCCATTTTTTCAGAATTACATCAATATAAAGAAAAATGCATCATTAATTCACGACAAATTTGCAAGTGCATGAATTAAAGCTTCATGTTTGCAAAATAGATTGCAACACTTAGACGCCCATAAAGGGTTCTATTGAAAAATACAATCGTCAGCAAAATTCAATTTCTGTCACGGTCATCATGTTTAAATTGAAAAGCGTGCTGTTGCCGGTAAGTCCGATTTTTGTATGTTTCTTCCCCTTTGAAAAATACTCTGACATAACTAAGTATAGAAATAAACCAACCATAATGCCTGCGATAAAATATATATATATATCGCTCTGTGGAAAGCTGTTCTTTTTATATCCTGAGAACCCTTTGAAAATGGTTAAACGGGGTAGAGTGAAAGCATTTCCGACCCCAGCTTGACCAGCCTTAAAAGACGAGTCGATCTGGTCATGTCCGTCTGTCAGTACATCCATCTGTCCGTCTGACCGTATACATGTATACATGTGCTCATAACGGCCCCTATTAGAGATGGATACTTGAAATTTTGAAACTTGTGTTTGATTTAATCATTGATAATTCCTTCCGTTTACACAAAATCGAT